ATGAGCATACAGCTACTCATAGGTCCTTGTTAAATCCTCTAAAAATATCTCATGCATGTTGACTGAGAAGGACAAGACCGTAAGACAGTGAGGAGCCCCAGTGCAGAAGATTCTCGACCCACAAGTACCTACTTCAGAGAAGTAATGGGCATTGGGTCCTGCTGGAGAAGAGCCTGGGGCTGTCGTGTTAGAGAAGAGGAAAAGAGAAGTTTGGAGAAACTGGAGAAATAGCAAAGACCTGTGGGAGGAACTGAGATCTGTACAGCCTGGCCCCAGGCTGGGCACAGGGCAGCAGAGTGTTGCTGTCACATCACACTGGGATCTGCATTTATATTGCATGAAAATAATATTTGACAAATCCTCTTATGCCGGGGAGAGGGAGAAGGAAAAGTTTCTCTTTTCCACTACCAACAGGTTGAGTTTTCTTTTTTAGCCAAATAAAACTGCAAGCATTTATGGCTTTATTTTTATGTTGTTGTTTTTGGCAAAAATGGGAACATGAACTGACCAAAAATAGAAATGCTGCATACTTTTTAGCTTCCCATGCCCAGGATGAACAAAACACACCAGGCAAACAAAAAGAATTTACAGTGGTAAGGGTAAATATCCTTCCCATTTTTGTTGTCAGGACCTATTAGAAACAGAGGTAAGGAAAGCTATTTGTTTAAAAAAATGTGGTTTTTTTAAGTGACCACAATGTTCCTTTTAAACTGCACTGAAATACAAGATAAAGACAGGGTACTGAGTGAAAAAGCGCTGATGGCGCTTTTATTGTGTGATTTGCCTTGTTTTTTTCTGAAGTACTTCTTTTTAGCCGATTACCATGTATTTACAGTTAGTGTAATTATATCTAATTACTTAATTAGCATGAATACGTGTAATTACTAACTTCAAATATGTAATTATGTCAGGGCAGCCTGTAATAAATGAGGTTGAAAAAAACCCTCATTAGGACTCTACGGAAGGACGGCTGCTCCACCCGTGTGGAGAATGCATCCCAGTCCCCAGACTGCACCAGTCCTGGAAGAGAAAAACACAGCCAGCTCCGGTCGTGTCTGGCAACAATCTCCACCAAAATCAAACCACTTGCAGCAAAAGGCTAGCTTCACAGCACTGGTGGGAACTGAGCATCCACTGATGGGAGACAAATGGGGATCTCCAAAGGATCTGTCCCCCAGATTAATTTTCTCCATTGATATTTGGATTTTTTTCTCTGATTTGTGGCATTCTTGAGAAGACCTCTTTGGTCAGACAAGAAATCCAAGGGAACAGAGCAAATGCAAAACTGTGCTGTTGCATTTGAGTAAAGCTTGAGAGATCAGATCCAGGAACTAATCTGCATCTGATGCATTGTGCTGATAATAAATTACTACCATTAAAGTAAAACTATGTTCCAAAATGTTTCTTCTGAAACATTACCAGTCTTTCAGCACAAAAATCTCCAGCTACTCATAATTACCCATTTTGCAAATTCAAATCCCGAACATCAGGAGATGGAGCTAAGGTTAAAAGTTGCTGTTACTGCCAAGAAGCATATGTATGAAAATGATGTCCCACCAACAGCCTCATGAACTTATTTCAAGCTGATGCTCCCTTTTTTTCCACTGATCAGGAGCTATTTGTTGTAATCAGCTGACTTTTCCTGCCCAGAAGGACTGATAGCCATTTTCTGGACACAAATGAGGGCAGATTGGATCATGTTTTGCATTACCAAAACCCCTGACCATAGGTTGAAGCTATGTGGTCCTACACCCTATCTCCTCATCACATATTCTGTCCACAGTGCTTGTTACACAACAAGTCCCATTCTTCTCCTCTCATCTGTTTATTTCCAAATATAGAGAGGTGCAAACTCATCACAACCTGTCGCTCCTCCTGCTGACATCTGCCAAGCAGATATGCCACTTGTTTTCTCCTCCATGTGCAAACGATCAGGAGAAAAAGACTATTTCATCTTATTCTTCTGAAATTGATTTGTGGTTGGACTGTCCCCATTGCCAAGCTCGTTGCTTAACCCTCCAGGTAGGGCTGAGGATGGCTGAAACAAGGATTGGTTGTAAACCCTAGTGCTGCCCAGCATGCCATGAAGTTACAGCATAAAGAAGGGAGGAGCATCTTCTCAGAGACTTAGTGCTTCATCACAAGAAAACAGGGTGGTGTAGTTTCTTCCGTGGCTCTTTGAGAAGCCCTCAGCCAGGAAGGGAAAGATGAACCTTGCCCCTCCTTCTCCTCTAAACCAGGCAGTAGCAGAAAGGGGGTAAAAGACAACTGCAAAAATCCCAGAAAGTCAGAGGTGAGAGCTGGTTCCTGCGCCCTTCATCCCATTGATGCGAGGACAGCACATCCCCAGTGAGGAACACGTCTCTATCTCCTTGAGGATACGTTAACGAGAAGAGCCCACAGGACAGCATTGCACAGCGGGAGCGAAGGGCTGCAGCTCTGCGAGCAGGGACCTGCTCTCCATATTTCAGCTGCAATTCCATTATGCAGAGCTAAGTGGCTGGGAATAAACATCTGTCATCCCTGTGTGATAAGCGATGTTTGCTAGTATAGAGGGTGACAGAGATCTATATCACATCAATGTACTATTAATACTGCATTAAGCATATAGAGCTTGCTCTCCTCATTGCAGCACAGTAATGGGTATCGGCATGTCCTCAACCCAGACAACATCCAAGAGCACAGGGATGCTTGCAGGAGGAAGGAAGGAGAAAAGCTTCACGATGGAGAGAGAAATCGCTTGCTGAAGATGTTGCTCTAGCAACACCCCTGTGCAAAGGAGAGACACTGGGTGCCACAAAGCACCTTTGCTCACAGCTGGATGGGGGCTCTACAGGAGGTAGGTGGCAGGAGGGAGGTGACAGCTTGCATCGGTACAGGCTCAGCTGGGTATTGAGGCACTCCCCAGCCCAGAGGAGTTCTCCTCTCTACAAGTGACAGCAAACGAAGAAGTGTTTGTGTCCAAGCTCTAGACAGAGGGAAAAGAAAAAACCCTCCAGCATGAAAACCACAGGGAGAACAGGCGCAACAAATATTCTGCAGCTCAGGTTTAGGTTGAGCAGAGCACATCAGATCAAACAAAACCCTTACAGTGAAAGCTCCCCAAATTACGGTTAATTTAAAAGGTGAATTATGAAACTTTCCAGCCTCAAGCAAAGCCACCAGTGAAGTCAGAAGTTTTGCTCAAGTAAAGTCCTGGGGACTAAAATAAAATACACACACCAAATCCAACCCTGCCTGAGGTCTCAAAGCCTGGGTTTTGCTTCGTGAATGACAAGAAAATCTAAAAAATATAAGGGCTTTCAGCCTGCCAGCATCCAGCTGTGGTTTGCCTCTTGTTAGCACCCAAAGGGAGTGCCTGTGTGTGGGGTTTGGTTTCAGCCCTGCTGCCTTGCAGTCCCAGTAAACCTGGAGCTCAGAGGTGGCGATTTGCCGTGGATTTCCAAATATGCGCAGTTGTCACTAGTGCTGCGTTTCACCCCCGTGGCACCTTCCACGGGAGAATCGGTCGCCAAGCATCTCTGTGGACTCTTCAGATCCTAATCAAACAGCCCTGTGAAACTCTGAGGCCAAATCCTGCTGCGAGCGACTTCCCCTGCAACTTGCCCAGCTCTGACAAGCCCCACAGGGCAAACACTCAGAGCAAAACTTAATCCTTTGAGGTTTAAGCCCTGCTACTGCACAGCTGCAACAGCACCCACATCTTGAGATGGTAGGCGCATGGATTAAAGAGATTCAAGAGAGCACAGGAGAAGAAGGAAAAAACTAAAGCGAGGGAGCCCCCCCTCCCAAGCCATCAGAGTTTGTAAATCATTTTGAGATGAGGTGCCATAAGAAGTGTAAAATATGTAATTAACAGCACAGAAAAACCACACTACATTCAGCTTCTCCACTCCTGCCTAATCACCGCCCTCCCTCCTCCTCCCGCTCTCTACAAACAGACCACACTTAGCACATTAAAATGAAAATCAAAGGGAAAGCTGAGTGCGTTCATTGGGTACACCCCATTGCTCCGGCAAGCGAAGTACAGCGAAAACGGCTTGGGCACCAGCTTGCAGCACCCAGGAGGGGCTGCCCCAGGGATGCCTCCATGGGAGCAGCGGCTGCAGCTCCCCATCCCAACGGGAGTAGCAGTGGCCGGGGAGCAGCACGCTCCTGCCGAGCACTTAATGCTGAATGACTTTCTGCAGGTTGGGAAATCAGCCTCCTCCCTGTTTCCAGGGGCTGAGTTATGTCTCCTGCACTCGTGAGTCAGCACAGCCAAAGGGAGAGCAGAGGCGACTTCAGTGCGGCACTCCCTGCATCCTTTTACCCAGCACTTTTCTTTTACACTCAGAATTTAGGAGCACAAAATGGAGAGGACCACTTGATCACAACCTGCTAGTCTAATGAGCCCAGTTCACAACCCAGATTTATAAGGGAAAGCTGCAAAAGCTTTACAGAAGCCACTGAAAACAAGACAACCAGCATTGAAGCCTCCTGTTCTTTATCTCCACGCGTTTGCCCCATCTACGGCCACATGTCCTGAGCTTCTCCCTGGCCCAGTGGGGAGCCAAGGAGGCAGCCCCATGACTGGGAAACTGCTGGAGGAGGAAGGGGAGGCAGGTCCTTTCCCCAGCCAGGCAGGGGTCACTTCCATCCCTGCACTCCCAGGCGGCTCTTGCCTGGAACCTCATGCTCGGAGCCAACGAGGCAGAGCCTGGCTTTGAATGGCACTTTCAGGTAAGGGGGGAAGGTGACTGGTGGGTGGTGGAGGGAGGGTGAAGGGAGGTGAAGGTGAGAGTGGAAAGTCTTCTCTTGAAGCACCTACATGTAATGTTGTGATTTCTGAGACCTGAGATTCACTTTGGTTTCTGGACCATACCAAGACCCACTCTCCTCAAAAACCTCCTTCTCTTCTTCCTCATCCTCTTAACCTCTTCCTCCTCGCCCTCCTTCCCCAATCCCCCCAACTCATCCCCTGGTCCTCGCAGGGGGCTCCAGCCGGATCGGGCACTCACACGTGTCTGGCTTGTGGCAGTTGTGACCTTGTCGGAAGTACTGGGGGTTCTCGATGACAGGAATGCGGGTCATGCCGATCACCACCGTGTCCGGGCCAGCGTCCAGGGACGAGGGTGTCGTGATGCCATGGTTGATGTGGTGGAGGGGACTGGCTGAATCCTCCTCTCCGCTGATCACTGCCACGGGACCTGCAAACACCACGCACATCCGTCAGGCACAACAGGGGAAAGGAGACCCGCGAGACCTGCTGACCGCATGGGTACGGATCGCCGCAGGTCGGCAGTGGATCACCACCAGCCCCTGGACAGGATGCCTGTCCTAGCACTCCTGGCAGTTGTCCCGTCCCCAGGGCTAGTTTCTCCAGGCAGTTCACAGGGTAGGGAAGACACCTCAAGTTTTCTTTCCTGGTTTTGGGGTACCAGGCTAACAATCCTGCAGGGGTGAAAGTAGCTACAGGTGACACCACATCAGAGGTGAGTCCTGTACAAAGTCCTCTCCTAGGGCTGTCACAAGACAGATCAGTCACTGTGGATCCTATATACCCTGGCATCATGAGTCTGCCAGAATACATAACTGAGCTTATACTGGAGAAACATCATGCCCAAAGAAGATCTATTTCACCCCAAACCCATATTTGCACCATTTCTCTTACCCAATGTGTTGCCCATCTTGTTTCCCCTCCTCCAGTTTCACCCGGGCACACACGCAGAGCCCTTCAGTCAGACCAATACATATAGGGACCCACGTTGTACTGGAGCAGATCCTGCTCAGTTCGTTCTGCCTCCCACCGCCACCACCACGATGAACGGCAACATCTCCCCCTTACCCTCCTGACTCTGAAAAGCTCACAGCACCATTAGACAGGCAAGGGAATGAGGCAAAGTAGTCAGACCCCCAAGATGGGAGCAATGGAGATCTCCTATCCCTCCACAGCCTCCCTGGTGTTCATTAATTGCTCTCACTGGAGCAAGAGCACAGAGGCAGTTTCCCATGGGAGGACCCCTCTGCCATGCTGGCATGCCTTGAAGGCCAGAGGCACCCAAGGATGGCAGAGAGGAAAGCACCCAGCAAGATATGGAAAAGGCAGCGCCACAACCATCAGGCTGAGCTGCAACAAACCCAAAAGATTCCCTCCTCCTTGTCTCTTCTAATTCATCTGCCACCATCTCAAGTACTTCTTAACTCCCAGTTCCCCATCTGCTGCTTGATCATGGGACCTGTTATTGATCCCCACCAGGCTGAGAGGGACCTGGCGGAGAGCTCGAGGTGGTCCCTCTGCACTGACCCCCATGCAAACTCCTGAAGTTGCTGCTCCATGAGCAAGGAGCCCTCAGCACAGTCCACGTGCCTTCCCCAAGTCCCCCAGCACCCATTTATGCATTCTTGTCTACCTCCACAGAGAAGGTCCCCAAAACACCAGACTGCCTAAATGCACCCACATCGATCACCCTCCTGCAGACAGACAGACAGACAGCAACCATGCTCCAGCTCCTTCAGCCTCCTGCCCCAGCCATGACTCCTTACACTCAAGTGCCTGCTCCCAAGAGCATCACTGCTTTAAGCTTTCCCTAACCAACGGCAGGCTTGTTCCCATAGGTAAAAAGAAGTGATGAAGGAAAGAGCATCCATACCTGAGAGCCAAGGTCTGCTTCCCACACAGAGCTATTTCACAAGCTGTACCCCAATTTTTGGCTCATGCTTTATTTTATTTTTAGACCTTCTAACTTCAGCTTTTGCTATCAGCTGCCAAGGCTGGAAACCTCAGGGGACATCAGGCCTTAATACATTATTCCCCACTTCCATCTGTTCTCACCCATCCTGAGGTCCAGTCTACAAACCAACATCACAAACACCTCCACCATGAGGCGAAACGCTCTCATCCATGCTGCAGACGTTCAGGCTGCATAAAAAACAGGATCCTGAGGAGCTGGGCAATGTGGGGACTGCACTGCAACCTTCCATGAGGACCTCCCTTACATATTCACATGGGAAGAGAAACCAAGCCACCACCTTTAATCTTCCCCTAACCAACGGCAGGCTTGTTCCCATAGGTAAAAAGAAGTGATGAAGGAAAGAGCATCCATACCTGAGAGCCAAGGTCTGCTTCCCACACAGAGCTATTTCACAAGCTGTACCCCAATTTTTGGCTCATGCTTTATTTTATTTTTAGACCTTCTAACTTCAGCTTTTGCTATCAGCTGCCAAGGCTGGAAACCTCAGGGGACATCAGGCCTTAATACATTATTCCCCACTTCCATCTGTTCTCACCCATCCTGAGGTCCAGTCTACAAACCAACATCACAAACACCTCCACCATGAGGCGAAACGCTCTCATCCATGCTGCAGACGTTCAGGCTGCATAAAAAACAGGATCCTGAGGAGCTGGGCAATGTGGGGACTGCACTGCAACCTTCCATGAGGACCTCCCTTACATATTCACATGGGAAGAGAAACCACATTCTACTAGAGATGCTCCTTTTCTCCTGTCTGGATGCTACCAAGGGCTACCAGAAGTTCAAGAAAAAACAAGCTGCTGCAGAGATGCTGCACTGAGGCTTCAAACCTATTCAGAGAGGCCAGTCTTTTACCTATGTTGCATAGAAAATGCCTCTCTCCCATCAGTAATCTACTTCTAATTGCACAATTACTTTATTATGTAGCGCTAGCAACAAAGAGGGGAGCCTTCAAGCCATTTTACTCCCCGGGGCTTCTGGGAGGACAGGGCAAACACCGGCTCCATGCAGTCATTCTGCCTGCATTAATCTAGTCTAAAGGCTGCTCATTTTTGGACCTTCAAGTATTGTTTGTTCTTCCAAGTGGGATATAATAAAGTTATCGTGTGATTAGCAGAGTCCTGGCAGCTGTGACAGGTGTTTTAGTCACAAGGAAAAAAAGTCTCTCCCTTTATTGTGAATTCCTTCTGGCAGATTCTGGCTTTTTTTTGCATTACGCCCCGAGCCCACGTGACTTCCAGCTTTTGAGACACAAAAGAAAAATTCAGCTCTTGCCGCAAGATGCCTCTGTTGGGACTACACATGCTATATTTCTCCAAACACAAAAAGCAAACAGGCAATTTTGGTTTGAACGACTTTTGTTCTTTCGCGATGTCAATTCTTCGCATGCAAACCAGGAGGATTGGGTTTTGCATGGTGCGCACGTGCCTTTGGCCATACCCTGCACCTCTGACCTGCCCTGCTGTGATGGGAAGGGGAGACCTCTGCATTTCAAGGTACAGTTCACAAAACAAGTCATAAAAATATCAGCTGGCATAGACTGGTGTAAATAATTTGAGGAGGGACCATAAAGACCTCCCTTGCGGTGGAGCGGTGGGAGAGGCTATCGAGGGCTTACTGCTTTCCCTAAACAGCCAAGGTGTTGCCTCAAAGGAAGGTACCTAATCAGGCAGTAGGATGTGAAAGACTTCTCTAGTGAATGATATAAAGGAAATCTTCATTGTCCTCTGCTTTGAGAGCAGAAATCACACCTTTGTGACAAGGAGCAAAGAGGACATCTCCTACAGCATTAGTACTGGAGAGAGATGGTTGGTTTCATAACCAGCCATGGGACCTATGCCAGGCTGGCACAGACCCTGCTGGGGACATAGTTCTCAGGGGCTCACAAAGCCCTGCCAGTACTTAACCCTTGCCGTCCTTGCTTGCACAGCAGCTCCTCAATTTTAAGGAATACAGATCATGGCAGTGTCCCTCTGGCACAAGCAGGTTAGAAGGACATGGCTACATCTAAAAGAGCACGGCATGATCAAGAAGGTCGGGTACGTGTGAAACTAAGCACAGCCAGCATCTATTATCCAATATTCTGATGGCAATTTCTTTGCCAATAAACAGATACAGAGTCTCACCTTCTTTACACTCCACAGATTTTTTTCCTGCCACTCACTTCTCAGGAGGACTTTCTACATGTGTTATCCTTAGTTTCATGCCCCAAACCTGTCCAAGATCTACAGGGTAAGAGGTAACCATGTCTCAGCTGATCACAGTTGCACTCCCATTCCCCAGCAAACACCGGGTCCTGTGAATGGACTCAGCCTCTTAGTCATCCAGCTCAAGTCGATGCTGCCAAGCTTAGACATTTACAAGATCTACCAGCCCTCAAAAGCCTCAAAGCCAAACCCTGGCGCTCCATGACCATCTCCACCCCTTCCCGTTTCTGCAAAAGTGGGAAACCCCAAGAACTGGCCAAGGTAGTTGCAGTCCTGAGACCACAGGGATAGTACACCACATAAAGTATATTCTACTCTTGCAATAATCCAGGGACGGTTTACTGCCTCTGACTGTATTGGAAAAAAAAAACCCAAAATAAATCACATTCTCAAGAGTCCTAAGGAACACACCCAACGGACACAATGCACCAGCTTTCAAGCTTTCAGAAACGTTTCTGATGACAGTAGGCACTGAGCTGGCATGGACTAGAACATATAATTCAGCCAATTCATCCCAATATCCTCCACAGGATATAATTGGATTAAAGACATAATTTACAGTTGATGACTTCTCCAAGTTTCTCCTATTAACTTTTGGGCTGGGGGGAGGTGTAGAAATCTGGACAATGTTAACTCCTACAACAGAGTCATGGCTCTTTATCACTTCCATTCCTTCGTTCCCATCTCTTCTGGCTGGTCACAGCTGAGAACCAGTTCCCTCTAAGCACACAGCCACTCTTGCCTCTCTGGCACTCAGACGAGTGCTGGACTCACTGTGCAAGCCTGAGACAAACTTTAAAAATACCATTGATATCAAGCAATCACCAATCACTTTTATAGGTTTGACTATTGCTCTGACACTCAAAATATGTACTGCCATCAGTAACTCCTGGAAATAAAGCAGCTACCTAAACTTCAACTTTTTTAATCTATCTTGGCAATAGCATATATTTTTTTGCTGTTAAGGAGGTAAAGAGGTTGAGTTTCTGATGTATAATGCTGATGAATGGCTTTATTTGGAAGAATTCTCACCAGCTTCAGCAGTGCATTTTCCAGGTAGGTTTAAAGGAAAAAATAGAGTAAAAAGAAAAAGAGAGTACAGATTTTAAGGTTTAGGTTTACCTTCCACTTGACAGAGAAATGGGCAGAGGGACATAGAAAAGAAGCCAGTTTCGTACTGTAAAAATGCAGAATAATAGTCAAGGGTAGCCTGGAGTAACTCCTGATATACCATCCTATGGTCTTAAA